ACACATATATATAGGTATGTATATAGTTATATGTGCATATAAACAAACCTACACCTGCATACCTTGACCTTTTATCTCTCGTTCTCTATTTAATTTTAAATATTATTGTACATTAGCTTTGTATAAACGAATCGTGAGCCCGCACAGGGACTTATTAAGTAAGAGCGAGGATAACCTAAGTTAACTCTTCCTTTTGTGATGTAATCTTACTTTTGTCTCAATAAACGTGTCAAAGTCAAAGTCTCACCACTTCTAGTTGACTATTAATTCGCATATATATATATATATATATATATATATATATATATATATAATATATATATAATATATATATATAATATATATATATATATATATATATATATATATATATATATATATATATATATATATATATATATATATATATATATATATATATATATATATATATATATATATATATATTTATATATATAATAATGATGATGGACGATCCCAAATTTTGCAACCAACCACTAAAAAACTACTGGGCATTGTGGCTTTCCGCGCGCCAGTCAGTCAAGCGAGCGACATGCCCGCGCACACGAATACGCACAAGCACATGCACATGCACACACACACACGCACACCACACACAACACACACACAACCAATATGGTGATCTACCTAGTGGCGACTTTAGTTGTGAACAATTGTCTTGCAAATAATATTAACAAATCTTTCATATTCCAATCCGGTGTCCCTCTGTCATCATAGGAACTGTAACCCTGCACATAAGTGACAAAGCAACAAACCCTTACTTTATTTTCTGTTTTGTTTCTATTCTGTTTATTACATTTCTCTATCATTCCAAAATTGTAGGTATTTGTGCAAATGGTTACCTTTAGTGGTGTCACAATATTTTACAGAATTATGTTTTGGTCATAATTTTAAAATGTTTTAGAATATCTATTTAAAATACTTGTTACATCATGATGGCTGCAGCTTAGTCTAGGAGTTCCGTGCCTGATGTTCATGACAACAGAATATAAGAATATATAAAAGGACATCTGCAAGACGAAAAATATCCATTACATCCCTAAAATATATTTTCTCTTAGAGGTTTAACTTTTGCCAATATTCAGTAAACATTTTTGCAGACTATACACAAGCCTTTCCTAAAACAAAAATGACCCATAAAAAGACGTTTTTGGTGCTTAAAAATCTAGGGGAGTATACTCAGATCCTCCAACAAAGGCCTAATCCTCTGACTAAGAATTTCTGGTGAAATACCTGGTCACCCACTTTATCAAGACATTTTATAACTTTCGAAAATCTTTGCAGTCAAATACAAACATCCACTTCAGGGGAAGAAGAGTAATGAATGCAATACACATCTTCCTTCACAAATTATTTAGCTTAATCTGTATAGTTTCCTCCAATTTTAAGACTTGTGAAAATGAATACTTTGTTTAAATGAAAGAGGAGGCACTCGGGACTATATAAAAGCAAGAAAATTTAGTGAATCCTGATCAAAACTTGATGCTTTATTTAAAATCTTTTAATGTTTCATTCTGTTTTAGAAGAGGCCGAGAGTGATAATAAACAAAATGTTTGTTGATATTATTAATGATTATGAATGACTTTACATGATTTTGTAGAAGAAACATGTTGACTCTATTGATTCAAGAATTTATTACTAATACAAGGTAAAGCTACTTTATTCAGAAAGCAATAGAAAAAAGAAACCTCTCAGACAGAAAAAGTTACTGAATGCTGATGTCCAATTTCAAAATCTACTTATCACTTATTTGAGAATTGTAGGAAAAAGTACAACATTTGAAGACATTATCAAACAGAAGTATCAAAATCAACCTATCAGTAAATGGTGCATTCCTTCATCCACTGTTTGCTTCTAGCCATGATGGTCTCTCTTGAAGAGCAGACAGGCAAGAGTCAGATCTTTTTTGACTTCCACACATGTATGGGTGATGTGCTCTTGCCGAAAAAAATTAAGTTGTCTCACAGACCTCCTCCACTAGAATAGACAGAATCATCCTTAGGGAAATGTGACAGGTATCCTTGTAGCTGGAGATGGCTGTTCTTGAAGGTTTGAGTAACAGGTTCTCTACCCCATAACAAAAGATGTAACTTCAAGGCCCTAGTTCCATGTTTCACTATCAGACAGTAGCATAATAATACCAGACTTGAAGATATGTCCCTTGGTCCTTCAGATAACATGAACTCCAAATACTCCTATTAAGAGTTCATGACTCCCTCTGCCATGCTAATCTGTCTGTTGACTTCCTGGTCTGACAGATCACACTTATGAACTACTCAAATATGTAAAGTTCTTTAATATCCTTGCTGTAAACCAACCCCAAATTTCTGAACTATGTCCTTGGTCCAGAACACCTCAAAATCCAAGGATTCTGCTTCACTGTAAATGTACTGAAAGCTGCCACAAATTTTACCAGAATCTCAGACAAGACAGCAAAATCATCAGCAAGGTGAGTAACTTTAATATTACCCAATATTGCCTTCAACCAACTTTGGATGAGAACTATGCATGAACCACTACATGCAGATTTAGAAAAGTGCCCGTGCAAGGACACATCCTTGTCTCACTTCTGAATTCACAGGAAGGAAGCTAGACATGCCTCCCTCCACAATTTACAGAACTTTCATTACCAGTAAGAAGGCTTACTATTGGTTGAATAATCTTTGTTAGGATTTTTCAGTTCTCAGGTTCTTTTAGAATGATTTCTAATACATTGAGCTGATATAGGTTGAACACATCTAATAGTCAAACACACATCAGTGCTCTGGAAGGATTCAGAAGTACATGGATACTGTTAATCTGCAATTTTCTAGGGCTGAATCTAAAGTGCTCCATTCTCTAATGCCCCATCATTTGATCTCTGAGGCACTTCAGAAGGATGAGAGCAACTACCTGCCTGCTATGCTGAACAGTGTAATGCTTTTTCTTCAACAAGTCTGGGGAAATGGTACTAAACTACCAAAAGGCAGCAAGGACAGCATGCAATCCACTGCCATAAGTTTGCCACAAGATGTTAGTAGTTCAGCTGGAATGCCACATATTTCCATTACCTTTGTCTTTTTGCTTGGAAATTGCCTTCTCAACCATGCTAACTGTTGTTGATGATTCAACCTAAGACAGCTGCTCAGAATAATTAAACCAATGTACTTGTACCCCATTTGGATCTGAGAGTCACCCATGGGAAGGGTTAGGCACACAACTTGGTATGCAGGACAAAGATCACTTACTAAGAACTGCCCTATGGCCACTTAATCAAGATATCTGAAGAAAATTTAAAATAATTCTTTTAAGGCATTATGTTTGGTTATTTAACCAAACAAGTGATAATTGTCACATGTACATACTCTTGGTCTGAGAACATATTTGTTTTTGTGTGCCTTGCAAGCATAGAATAGCATCTTTTGCTTTCATTTAGCTTACTGTAGATAACAGTAACACAAGAACTCTGTCAGTCACTAGTATGAAAGAAGGAGTAAATGCTAACTTAATGCCATTAGAATATTGCTGAGAAATAATGCTTTAAAATCCATTTTATGTGATGATAAAGGAATTATAATTTCTCTCAATTTCATGAAATGTCAAACCATATATTTACAGATAACTAAAAAAATCTGCATACACTCTATCAAGAAGACAAAATTTCCTTTCCCTTAAAATATATTTTTTCTAATGCTTTGAATACCATTACTGTTATTAACCCAATGCCACCAGGAAAATGTTGTGTTCACTTTAGTATTGTTTTGTTAAATGTTTCAGCACATAGATGGCTCTACCAGTGCTTACCCACAAAGGAGTCAATTAGTAGATCTTGTAACCTCATCTTTTCTTGAAATAATTGGAAAACGTTTTTTTTACTAATACTATCAATACTGATACTGATATTTTTGTTATAAACATTATAATTACTCTATTATTATTGACATTATTAAATACTAGAAAATATTACTAAAAATCATGGAAAAAGGTAAACAGCTGAGACAGGTACTTCTTGTAACTGGCTCATTTCTGACCTAGTACTTGTGGAGCCATCTATATGTAAAAACAATTACTATATAAAACAAACAGTGGGCATGGCATGTATGCACATGCATCCCATTGGCATGTGGCATCATCATCATCATCATTCATCATATCATCATTCATATCATCATCATCATCATCATCATCATATCATCATCATCATCATCATCATTACTGTCATAGTGTAATCAACACTATGAACAGCAATAAAAAAATATAAAATAACATCTCTAAAAATCAAGGAAAAGGGTAAACAGGTCAGACAGCTAGAACTAGTATCTGACTCTCTGGGAACTAAACGCTTGTAGAGCCTTCTAAGTGTAAATACAGTTAATAACTAAAATCGCAGTGGGCAAGGCATATATGTACATTGTGCCAATGGATTAATCATAGATTTGCACTTTTATTTTTAAGGCATCATTCATGTACAAAAAATATCAAAATTATAGCAAAGCTTCTCCATTTAATAATCTTAGGGAACTGGGGAGGCTGAGAGTAGGGGTGGCTGCTCTCTCGGAGGTGAGAAGACCTGGCAGCGGGGCGGCTTAAACATACTGTTCTTATCTAAATAATTATCTTCACCTTTTGAAGGCTGAAAAAATACAATTGCCATTCTCAGACACATGTATATACAAATGGCAAGTCATCCTAAACAGAATAGGAGAAATATAAGAGAAAGAAGGGAAATAAAAAAAAAAAAGGGGCCCAAAGTTACCCTAATAAGTATATTCAGATTAGAAATGATGTATTATTTTTCTCTATCCTGTACACTCACGTAGCTCAGATCTTTGCAATCCTTTAGGGGGTAAAACTTATCAAATCAATCATTCAAAACTCACTTGTGTTTCAATTCTTCCTCATTTTTCTTTTTTCCAGTAATAAGATGAAATACAACTAGAAATAAGATGATTTTTTTCAGCAAGAATATCAATACTGTATATTATAAACAATAAAGAGATAGCTTGATTTACAATTTATTATTGCATATTGTAATATCACAACCAGTTATAACATAAAATTATCATATCAGAAAAGGCAGTCATGTTCAATGAAATTATAAGAATCAACAACAGCTGATAGTGGGTTTGCTAAAGAAAAAATGAAGAGAAAAAAGGAAGAAGAAAAAGAATAAGAAGAACAAAAAAAGAGATACATAGACAGACAGATATAGACAAAGAAAAGGATGATGATGATGAAGTAGAAGGGAAAGAAGGAAGAAGATGAAGGAGGAGGAAGTAGAAGAAGAAAATAAAGAAAATTACCACCTTAATATAAAAAAATTACCATCTTTTATGTCACATTTTATATCAAACTAGAGAAAAATACAAAAAATGCCTAGATTACCTGAAATATAAGAGGCAAGCTACTATATATGATGCAACATATATATCATACTTATCATATATATATATAATTCTTCCTTTTCACTTTCTTTAGCCTTATTGAGAAAAAGAGAACAATTAATATCAGAAATGTATACACAGGTCCCTCATCATAACAGAAAAGCTTAAATTTTACCAAAGTATCTCTGAAAGTTTATCTCTCCTTGCATATCTTGACAATAAAATATCCCTAAGAACAACAATAACAACAGTGTTTCACACCCCACACCCACCCTTGCCTTCCCTTCCTCTATCCATTCCCCTACACTAACCAGGGACTAAGGCATTCCTTAATCCCCACGTCAAAGGCAGTGTGGTGTGAGATCCCGAGGGCCTCAAGGCGTGACGAATCCATGCGGGCATCGTAGGGTCTAGGTGCACCGGGAGCTGGGTTGGGGTCGGGTGTAATGTGGTCATGGGAGAGTGACAGCACCCTCGACATTGCCACAATCATGTCGTATTTCGTCAGCTGCTCCTTTCCGCTCCACTGGAATATTCCGTTGATTTCTTTGTCCTTAAAAAGATTAATTTATTTGAGGATCTGATGAATAATAGGCTGGTCATTTATCCCCTAATCATTTACCTATATGTATCTATTCACATATCTATTGTTTTTCCTTTATTTGTCTTTGGTGGAAGAGTTCTGCTGGAATTCATATAGATTAGCTGAAGTTTACTAAGAAATTGGTGAAGTCTGCAAGAAATCAAGATACAAAATCTATTACCGGAAAGATGAAAGAGAGGGAAAATAAAGATTTTAAATGTATTGGGGAGACTGACAGGTATTTATTTTTTTCATTCATAGAAAAATAGGTATTTTGATTCAAGAGTTCAAACTCAAGGAATTAATGTAATATTAGAATACCTTTACTTAGTACAAGAATGAAAGCTCAATCGTATAACATCATGATGTCATTTTCAATTTTTCAATTTGAAATATCACAGAGACTTAAGTAATGGTTCTAGAAACAAGAGCTTTTCGCAGTGAGTAGCTAAATGGTGTACAAACAAACGTTCATTACCACTTTTTTCAAAATTTGCCATGCATAAAACATTTTATTGCCATAAAAATAGGCCTACCACAAAACGTCACAGATTCCACTCCTTCCCAGGTAATACCCATACCAGATATTATCTATTTGTAACTTTGTTCCCCACTACCAAATTAACTATTTCCCAAAAGTCCAAGTAAATTGTATAAATATTCTGCTTTCTATAATCCTTTAAATGAAAAAAAATCATGCTTTAAAATAAGTATATTTATTACTATTGGTTCAAAATATTTTAAATGAAAGAAATTATGCTTCAAAATAGTATATTTACAGTTTCAAGTTGATACATTACTAAGTATATTTATTACTATTGGTTCAAAATATTTGAATCTTTCATACCTATTTTACGGATACAATGTGTGTGATACACACTTGCAAGATCATCCATAAACTTTAATAAACAAACAGATATTTACAAATGACAGTATTTATTTCCATATTGATTGGATGACATCACCCTGGTCCCCTGCCTCATCGCTAGTGTTCCTAGCTTAAATTCTTGATTAAAAATGGAGATTTTATTAATTTCCTAGGGTCCTGCAAGCAATATATTTGGGTCTTGACTAACTCTAGAAGCTCATTTTCCTCAGTAAGGGCACAGTTTCCTTTCCTCGAATCTATATCAATGTTTAGATATGATTTTAGAGGGATAGAAGAGGCTAGGGGTACAGTGAAGATGGTGTGCAGTTCAGACATTGTTCATCTTTGCTCTTATTTCTCCTTTTTCTTTTCTAACTCAACTTCTTTAATGTTGTTAATGCATAAACTTCTTCACTTTCCAAATATCTGGAAAAAAACCAGCAAAAATATATACTAACATATTACCTATTCCCAATCCTCAACTAAATGTGACTGACATGAATGCATCCTCTCCTTTCCTTTGCTCCCAATGTTGATCTGCCAATGTGGACATCACGGGTCTCCTTTCCCACTCCCCCATATAAATGTTATCTCCTGTGACTTCTGACCAGAGGGACATGCACCAGTTCGCTTCCCCACACCGCCATATGCAAATCAAATGTTATCTTACACATTTTTAGCATTTTCTGACCAGAAACATATTTTAAAATAATTGAGTCATTTTAGAAGGGGTTTGAATTTTTTTCAGCTCAAAACTGTCAGTCTCCCCTAACACTCAGATGAATTCATCAATCAAAAGATCGTGAAACATACACCATTACAATACCTATAAAGAAGTTGCCATATTGCTAAAACAAATTTTAAAATAAAAAAGAAACATGAAAACAAAACTTTGCAAGAAGATAAGATTATCTAGATTATCTTAGATTATGTAAGATATATTTCTCTTTTTCTACTTCTTTAATGCTTATAAACCCCACTCTTCTTTATATAGCATTTGCCATCACTGAAAATGCCAGTCCCCTTAATAAAACAATTTTCTTCTAAAAATAATATATGTGACAAAATCATTTAAATGAATCTTGTTTTTCTACTTCAATATGCAAGCAATGAAAAAATATGTTCCAGTGATAAACAAAGACTACTTTCAAGAATTCAGCATTGTGGATTTGCATAACACGAGAAAAAAATACAAGATCTCTATAACACATTTCAGTATTCTCTCTTGTATTATGCTACACAAACAACTATCACTAAAAGAGTATTTTCATAAGATGTGCAGCATGTGATGTCACTTGGTGTATATTTCTGATGGTGCTTTTGACTCATATTAGACATATCTACAGAAATAATTGATAAATATCTAACAAAATAGTTTCCAATTTCTTATATTTTGAGAAAAAAAAGTATGTACTAATTCCACCATTCACTATGATTATAAATCCAGGAAGAAATAAATCACCATATAACCTCAAAAGACAACCATGCAAACATGCAAGTGTATGTACACATGCCATAATAAAACAACAAAAAGAAGAAAGATCCTGAAAGTACCTTGGTGATTGCAATGACAAGATCCCGCAAAATAAGTGCCACATCCCTGACATGGACAGGGTATCGCTTCTCATAGTGGGATGCCTTCTTGGGTGCCTTGGACTGTAAAAGTGGCAGCAGGCATGTCACAGCACTCTCATCCACTTTCTCAACAGGACCGTACAGAATTGGAACCCTTAGAATGCAGGCGCCTGAAGTGAAGGAAGTAAGTGAAAAAATATGTAAGATATTTTGACAATATTATGAAGGTCTTTCGAATAAATGGTTAATCTATTATGACAGATTTGTTGGGTTATTGTAATGAGATAGTTTTTCCTACTTTTAAGCTCAACATATTGCTGATAATCTTCACTAACTGTGATGAAATGATTTATCTTTCTAGGGAAATATAAATGGACAAAATATTCTGAAACAATAAGAAATGACTTAACTCTGAACATATTAAATCAATGATAACCTTAAAATCTCAATGTAATCTGTATTAATTTTGTGGGAAGGAGATAAAAAACTAATACAAAGATATTCAACTATAATATAAAAAAGAACGAATATATATCTCAACACAGCCTTTCCTTCCGAGAAAACAACTCTTAGTAGTAAGGGCATATTTAGAAAACTTATACTCCTTGCAATGGTTCAAATAAAAAGTTATTCAATCCTGAAAAGAAGAATATATGAAATACAAGAAGAGTGAAGATAATGTAACAGAGAAAGAGAAAACACAAACTTACTTGGATCTTCTTTTAAAACTGCTTTTTCTCCATCCAATTTTGTTTGCCCATATTTATTCAAGGGATTGCAAGTGTCTGTCTCTCTGTAAGGGGGCGATGTTCCATCAAAGACGTAATCTGTGCTAATGTATATGAGTTTGCTCCCAATGCGCTCTGGAAAGAGAGCGACAATATAGCTAAAACACACCCACCTACACACAAAGGGTTATGCATAAAAATATATGAACATATAAATTTGTGAATATATGGATATATATCCCAATAATCCCAGGTAAAAAAAATTGGCAAGTGGACATGATTGCAGAGTTGCTGGCCTACATCGACAATTTACTGTTTGCAGCCGGCTTGTTTGGTAGTTTGCAGGCAACATTAGGCACTTAAAAGCTTGTATTTTGATAAAATATTTAACAATATAAAAAAATTTAAGATATGCTACTGCCTAAGAGTTTTACCCTAAAATGATGCCACTACTAACAGAGAAAAACTAGCTCTGTACGATAAACTGATGACACAGGAATGGTTGTGATATGATGCAACTCGTTATTTTGGCCACAACAGATATGGCATGTACGTACCTGCCACCCGCAGCTTGGGGTTAAATATATGTGTGTGTGTGCGTGTGTGTGTGTGTGTGTGTGTGTGTGTGTGTGTGTGTGTGTGTGTGTGTGTGTGTGTGTGTGTGTGTGTGTGTGTGTGTGTGTGTGTGTGTGTGTGTGTGTGTGTGTGCACGCTCGCGCATGCGTGCATTAAGCTTATCCTACAGCACAGGGAGTTCTAGTTAACTAAAAATAACTAGAACAACCAAAAGACAGAGAGAAAGAAAGGAAAAAATATCTATACTAATCAAAATAATAAATAGGTAAACAAATAAGGCTCTTTATCTTGTTTCAAAAGAAATTTTGATGATTGATGTAAATATGCATAGGCCTATATGTACATAATCATGTCTGAATATATGTATGAAATTATAATCAAGGTTACACATAAATTTACAAGACATTCATAAATCACCATATATTACATAGTACATTCCTAATATTACTCTTGTACTTTACTCCTCTGCATGCAATAAAGCAATCCTGCAAAAGCTTTATCTAATGAAAATGAGGTAAGATTTTGACTAAGTTTAATTTGATTATTCATTTTCTCTTACTGTGTCTAAGAAGAAACCCTAGAGATGGTTTAAATGTTACTGCTTATATTCCACTCCTGTTGTGGCAGCTTTGTGTAATCTTACAAGACATTCACATTTGTAAGAAACATTACAGCTAATTCTGAGTATTTTAAAGGTGAAGTTCTCTCATTCACACACACACACACACACATACTCACATACTCGCACACACGCACAAATATATACAGATATTCATATATACATGTGAGTGTGAGTGTGAGTGTCTGAATGAGTGAGTGAGTGAGTGAGTGAAAGATGTCATAATGCTCACTCTGTATCATACCTGGTGTGACAGAAATTCAAGTCCTGGTCATGGTGGGTTGTTTTATATATACATTATACACACACACACACACACACACACACACACACACACACACACACACACACACACACACACACACACACACACACAACACACACAGACACACACATGCAGACACACATGCAGACACACACATGCAGACACACACACACGCAAACACACACAGACACAAACATGCACAAACATGTACATTATACACACACACATACACAAACACACACATATTGTAACCATGCATTGCATCCTGCCACCACATAATCACCGAAATTGAATTTAACGCATTCTCCTCCTCCATAAATTGCCTAATACTGCAGATGATTTTACCGAGAAATGCCATATATTCATATATAGGCTACAATCCAGCCTATGTTAAGTGGTCATTTGTAAACCAGTGCAAGGGATAGAGGGAACCAGTCTATGACTGATGACAATATTGAATAAGGAAAAGCATAAAAGTGAAAAGGAAAAAAATGAGCATTGCAAGGGAAAGTTTACAAAGTATACAGTGCATGGAAAGGTTACTGGAATGTGGTGCTTGGAAATTGTCTGCAATTATCTTTGTCTTCTTCTCTATAAATACAGAATTATGGTGGAAACAAACTATTGAAAAAAGAACTCTGCTGTGTCCAGAACTCATTAGATTTCTCCCATTAGTCAAATTATTTGCATCAGACTAGTCTGCATTTGGTAATTTTTTTCTGTACCAATTACTTGTGCAATTTAAAGCTTTTATACTACATGTACATGTGGGTGTGGGTGTGTGTGCATGTGTGGGCGCACACGCACATGTGCCTCAGAGTGTGCATGTGCCTGTGATAATGCTCCACCTACTTGCAACTGCTGCAAGATGGCTAGAAGCTGCAACATTGAGCTTCCGCGTCTCCTCATATCTATTCTCGACAGCATCTGGAGCTCTCTCGGCTGCTGCGTGGATGATGAAATCAGGCTTCTCCTTCTCTATCAAGGCCTCAACTGAGCTGCTGTCTGTCAGGTCACACTTCACCAGGCCCTGGCTAACTCTGTGGGAAATTTCTGGTTATTTCCAAATCTTTCTTTATCATTTTTGGTGATTAAAAACGAGTGTAATACAAAACGGCAAAAACTGTAAGGGATACACTAGACAATGGTGATGGTCTGAGCCAGAAAAGACTCCACTTTAGTTACTATAAGTGAAACAAAAAACATTTTCATTTTATCAAAGCATTTCAAAAGTTTGGGAAGCATGAACAGCCTACATATAAATACTGAAAAGGTCACAATACATACGTATAAAGAAGCTGAAGATCAAAGACGTAAGGAAGGAAGGAAGGAAGCAAGAAAGAAAGAAAGAAAGAAAGAAAGAAAGAAAGAAAGAAAAGAAAGAATGAAAGAAAAGAATCAATGAATCTTAATACAGATTAAATACAAACAGAAAACACATTTTTTAAAAAGATATTTGCACAAGTAAATCACAAAAAATGCTAATTTGCAGTGCTGAATAAAATTATTTATAAAAACTACATCTGAAATATGGTGTAAGTAGGCTTATCATTTTTTTTTTTGTTAATAAATAATGATTACCATGACTGGCAATAAAAATGAGCTTTATGATATATAGATAATATATGATAATGAAACTATAAATATGATCATGATCAATATAAATTTTACCCAATAAAATTATACATAGAAAGAAATAGTTTATGAAATAATAGCTACAATAAGTAACAAATTCCATAGCATAAGAAAACATATATCTAAAACTATAAAATTTTATACTTTAAATCAGCACACAGTGCTAGGATGGCATGCATACATGTCATGTCATCTGTGATTTAAGTCTATTAATTTAGTTTAAACATATATGTTATGGACACTTAGTAATTAATTACTAGTCTTAACTACCTCTCCTGTTTACCATTTTCCTTGATTTTCAGAAATATTCTTTTAT